AAGTAAGTAAGTAAGTAAGTAAGTAAGTAAGTAAGTAAGTAAGTAAGAATTTATGCAAGAGTCAGATGGGGGAAACAATTTGTTGCCATGTGTTTGACTTAGCTGCTTTCATCAGAAGAGCTGTATGTTAAGATAAAAGTTTAAAGCAGGGATATGTTTTTGGCTTTGGGAGACTAAAGATCACACTCCAAGAGATGAATGGGCTAGGAGCAAGAATGGGGCAAATCCAAAACTAACTGAAACTGTTTCAGTTTAAATTTAATTAAAACTAATTTAAGTAAATGCTAGAATTATGTTTCTCAATATTAAGTAAATTTGAATAAATAGAATACAAGAGCCAGTTTGGTGTAATGATTAAGACTCCAGGCTAGAAACTGAGAGACAGTAAGTTCTAATGCCAACTTAGGCACAAAGCCAGCCACTCTCTCTCAGCCCTAGGAAGATGCAATGGAAAAATGCTTCTGGAAAAAATACAGGAACCAGTCCAGGCAATTTCTAGATAGAAAAGAGATATTATGTAAAGTACAAAATTATTCTCAAGAAGGCAAAAAAGGACCACTTTTTGCTAGAAAATTACTTTAAATTGTATTTTTTCAGAAATTAACCATTGGTGATAAATGCGGTATATGCTGGAAAGGAGGAGATGTGGTCTACTGCAATAAATGTTTCAGGGCTTTCCACTGGCGCTGCCATTTTCCTGCCCATACAGATGAAATCAGGTATTAATTGTGCTGAAAAATAAATCTTTATTTATCTCTTATATTTGTCAAGCCTTGGCATCTAGCCTAGTGCAAAACTCCTGTGAAAAAAGGCCCCAGCTGTTACCATGGAAAGTGAGCAGGCGGAGAATGGAGACCTGACAAATATTGATGTCAGGTGCACTAAATTAATGTGACTGATATGACACCTAGAGGCATATTTGTTCCTAATTTTTTCCAAGGCCATTTTAAAGTTTTAGCTAAGGCAAAACTTTAATCTTCACCTTTTGCAGAGGGTTCTGTACAGGTGCAAAATCACATAACTGAATGATCCACCATATCACCATCACTCTAAATATTCCTGAATATCAGAGACAAAATGATAAGGTGGAAGGCTCTACTGCAAATGTTTATGCTGCTGTTTGATTAGATAAAAGATTTATGTGAGGAAAAAAAGACACTAAATCATTTGAGAATCTACTAGTAGTCTAACATAGCTCTACCCAGTTTAGCAACCATGGAATCTGAAATCAAGTCTTATACTTTGAGGGAATGCTTAAGATTGTTTTTACATTGTGTTCTAGTGGAATCCTGATATGTAAGTCCTGTTTTGACAACTCTACAGTTATCAGCTTGGAAGGAGACTCACATTCCAATGCTCAAACACTACGAGCAGTAAAGGTCAGATTTTCCATATTTTTTTCAGCCTTATTGTACCCAGTGGATTAAAGAAATCTGGTATATACACAGATGGCCTTCATGACTTTTCATGCTTCAGATGTGAGATGCAATTCCTATCATTGGTTTATACCTTGTTATCTGAGATTAATGGGAGTTTGACCAATGGTTTGCCCAACACAGGGCAAACCATTTTCAACTAAAGTACTGCAAATGGGCTAAATTACTGAATGCTGGCACCCATTGCTTCTGTTGGAATGAAATTTTAGAAAGTTCTTGCTGTTTCAACCCTGCTTCAACCCTGCTATTGTTCACTGCTGCCGTCATGTGATCCTAAGTTACAACTTTCCTACAACTGACACCTGCCCACAAGCCAATTGGGAAGCCTGGGAAGCTTTCTGAGAAAAAGTCAGTTGGGAATCACATCCTTCCTTAAAAGCTTGCAGGGGAGAAAGTCAATAGGGAACCTTGCAGAAGAATGTCTCAAATTGCTCAGGTAAGTCTCTTGCAACCTAAGTCTCCTGCAACCACAGAATCTCTGCCAGACCTTCTGTACTCACAAATATATCTGAAAGGATGACCCAACAGGTAAAGTTTATAAATATAAATGAATGTGTCAAATCAAAGGATTTATTCCAGAAGTGAATTTTGAAGAGAAATTTGAAGAAAAAGACAGGTATGGTGGTCTCCATATGTTTAACTATGACACAAACCTACAACTTTTACTTGGTTATCTGTTAATCCATTCCTGCAGCTTATATTTTTGAAAAGTGTCTCAAATAGCTTCTGCCTCAAGCTTATAGAATCATTTTCACTTCCAAAGCTCAACAACCTCAGCATACTAAAAATTTTATATCCACGTTCCTCTAAGACTGAACCCAATGAAGACTTCTGATGATTATTGTATTGACCCCTTTCTGGGGGAAGGCAAGGAGCAGGTATCAGCAGACAAATGCAGGACCCACCAAAGGAATATGAAGATAGAATAATTTATTCACACCTGACTTTTTAAACTCTCATGCATAAGGCTGGTGTTTTCCTTTTACCATAGTTATGTTGTACAAAATTTATATGATCATGATTTGCAATCTATAGGCTTCCCCATTGACTTTACTTTTTGGAGTTACCTGAGAAGGTCGCAAATGGCAATTGCAATACCATAGGGAGATTGCAATGGTTGTAAATATGTAAATATTGAAAATTTCATAAGTTATTTTTTTGTCATATCATAACTTTGAAATGGCCATTAAACCTGTATTTAGCATGAGAACAAATCCTATTGAACATGTGGAATAGATACTTCTGAATAGATATGTATACAGTTACATAGTAAGGAAATATTTTGAATCCTAGGTGGTAGAAGATTCTGCTGGAACTGAACCTGCATTGAACAAAGATGATCTGGATTCACTCTTAGGGGAGGTAAATCAAATAAATAATGATGTCGGTTTATTTATTTGGCTCTGTAAAATATCTAATGTGGAATTTATAATACATCTGTAGACTTCAGCAAAAATAAAATCATTCTTGGTAATATTCAGCATTTGACGCACTAGTTTAACAAATTCAGCCACAAAATGATTTGCAAATTTGTGGGAAAAACGGTTGATCAGAATTAGATGTGGTTTACCCTTCCCAGGAATAAGTGAATTTGTTTTTTTAAGTATAAAAATAGTTTTATGTTTGCCTTTATTGTGTAACCTATTCCTATGAATTATCTTCTTTCTATATTCAGATTCTGATTATTTTATTTTCTCTATAATCTTCCAGAATACATTTGATGGGATTTTGCATTGGGCATTCCAGAGCATGCCTCGTTCATTATCAGGCACCCAAGGATTTTTCTCATAGATGGCACTGTTTTTCAATAATAATAATAATAATAATAATAATAATAATAATAATAATATATCTAATTCCATTGCTATTTTTCAGTAACATGGAATATAATCTCATTTTTCTACAGTTCAACACTATGCTCAAAATATGATTTTTTATGTTTTATATGTATATTGATAGAATGTACTGATAGTAACTATCTTATGTAGTAACTGTTTACATTTACAATGATGATGAAAAAATACGTTCAGATCAATCTTTGCATTTACAACTGTCATGGGTCTGTAAAGAAAAAAAAAGCTGAATAAACATAAGCACAGCTGCAATTTCATTTAGTGACACTTTGTTTAACAACCAAGTCCCAATTGTGGTACCCTAAACTAGAACTGCCTGCCTATTGTTAATTCTGTAACTGAACAAGTCAATGAATTAATTTTTCAATTAACCTCTCACAACTGTTGGCATGATAGTAGTATCATGGTAAAACATTCAGAAAATCTGTAGTTGGTGGTGGAGTTCCTGGGGACTTAATTTTCCTTCTGTGGGAGAAAAGTTGGAGACAGCTCAGGAATTCTTAATGATTATGAGAGCCATGGATGTATTCCAGATATAAGGGCTTAACACATTACTCACTTTAGATGATTTTTTTTTAATCTTGAGGCAGCCAATGTGATCTATAACTTTGTAACATTGATATTATGCTTTGCCATCGTCAAAAAACTCCTTGCTTACTATAAAGTGACCTCTAGATTTCTTAATGTTTTATTATTATTCTATGGTGTCATAACTTGATAAGGAAGATCTGGTGCCATACCACTCATGAAATAGATCTTACTGGTCTGCCCCAGGCATCTAATGGAATTCCAGGGTGGTGGCTGAGGTTTCAGTAATTTCATCTAGTATTTAGACATGCATTCAGGACTTGGAACAGATGGGCTGTACTGTACCCTAAAATTGCCAAAAATTGTTTTTCTAGTTCTATGTCTAATATAAAGAGTTAAACAAATTAAGCTTTTGCTTTCATCTATCTCTGTGCTTTAAAATAATAACCTCATACACACTCAATTGATAAAGCATAGACGTGAGTCTGGGAGCTGTATTTCATTATTATTTGTATACTTCATCATGCTATTGTTACAAAATTTTGAAAAGACAGTACACTGATTTTATAAACAGGAAAATGGGCAGTTATGAAATATTAAATATAAATAAATAATCTTACTATTCTGGTAAAAAAAGCTGTACTGCATAATTAATACAAAACTTCAGGTACTTTTGTTACAATGCATATTTTCAGCAACAGTTGTATTCTTCAGTTTGTGTGCACAACTGACAGTAAATTTCAACTCTGTAGTCAAAGAGAAATACATCAAAGGTTTTGACATTCTCCAAATATTTTTTCCCATTTCTGAAAAGTTGAATGTAAATTTATCAATTTCATTCCTTACCTTTGTAATTCTTGTATACAATTTTCTATATTTGTGAAAAATGTTCCCTGTCATCAAAATCTAAAATAATTTATTTATGCAAACTGGCATTTTGTTTTCTAACAATTATGTTGACTAAGATTGGATACAAGGTTTAGAATAACACAGTTGGAAGGGACCTTGGAGATCTTCTAGTCCACCCCCCTACTTAGGCAGGAAACCCTACACCACTTCAGACAAATGGTTATCTAATCTCTTAAAAACTTCCAGTGTTGGAGCATTTACAACTTCTGGAGGCAAGTTGTTCTACTGATTAATTGTTCTGTCAGGAAATTTTTAGTTTTAAATTGCTTCTCTCCTTGATTAGTTTCCACCCATTGCTTCTTGTTCTACCCTCAGGTGCTTTGGAGAGTAGTTTGACTCCCTCTTCTTTGTGGCAGCCTCTGAGATATCGGAACACTGCTATCATGTCACCCTAGTCCTTCTTTTCATAAGACTAGACATATACAGTTCCAGCAACCGTTCTTTATATGTTTTAGTCTCCAGTCCCCTAATCATCTTTGTTGCTATTCTGTGTACTGTTTGTAGAGTCTAAACATCTTTTTTACATCATGGCGACCAAAATTGGATGCAGTATTCCAAGTGTGGCCTTACCAAGGCATTGTAAAGTGATATTAACACTTCACATCATCTTGATTCTATCCCTGTTTATGCAACCTAGAACTGTGTTGGCTTTTTTGACAGCTACAGCATACTGCTGGCTCATATTTAAGTGATTGTCCACTAGGACTCCAAGAGCCCTCTCACAGTCACCACTATTGAGCAAGGTACCACATATACTGTACCTGTGCATTTTGTTTTTCTTGCCTAAATGGAGAACCTTACTTTTTTCACCATTGAATTTCATTTTGTTAGATAGACCTAATGTTCAAGTCTGTCAAGATCCTTCTGTGTCTTAAGCTTATCATCCAGAGTGTTGGCTATTCCTGCTAACTTAGTGTCATCTGCAAATTTGATAGTCCCAATGGTTTTCCTGTTTCTTTGCAAACTATTGTATTCATTTAATTGTAAAAGTAAATACCCGTGATGTTATTTTAAGATTTTCTGCTAATAACATACTCCATATGCAATTTATACAATATTTATTTCCATTTTCTCTGATTCACCAAGAAGCAGGATAGTTTTAGGGTCACTTTGCAGGGACTTGACTGAAGACGGTACTGGAACAAAAAAGGTTAATTATCAGTTATTGTAAATTCATGAGGGAGGGGCAAAATTTTCAGTGATGCATATTCTAACAAGATGGAAATTTCTTTGTATTTCTAAATAATGGTTCTCTACGATCCAAGTCCTTCAGGATTATAGACTGAAATAATCTTTTGTGAAATCTGAAATGATGTCTATAGAAATTCTCAATCATCCAGGTCGTGCTTTTCCGAAAGACATCTGGACTTCCTTGCTTTTTTCTTGAAAATGTTTCTCCTTTCATCCAAGAAGCTTCTTCAGTTCTTTTTTTTTTTTTAAACAAGTTTTATTAATTTTCAAAACACACATCATTTTCCATTACATGTTTAAACCTTTTTCCATTATAAATTTAACAAGTCAGGTAAACTATAATTCTATTTTAAACCATTTCCATATAAACATACAAAAACCTCTTATCCAATTTCCCTTTATTTCTCTTCACTCTTATTCAATTTTATTATTATTATTTCATCTACTTCTTTCTGACTTAGTTACCATTATTCTCATTCTATATTTCTACAAGGTTTTATTAATTTCCCCCCCAAAAAAACAACATAATCACACAACACACAAAACATATAAAAGATCTTTTTGGAAAGTAACTTGGACCCAGGTATCTCTCTTTTCATGGACTTCAATTATATTCAGGCTCATCTTACATATCATTACTTATTTTATTTACCATTCTAAGTCTTCTATATTAACTTCTCCACATATTTCACTCTTCTTGATTCTATCTTAATTAATCATCTTAATTTGAGTCATTATATTTATATCTTTTGTCCATTCTCTATTATACCTTTGTCTCATTCCTTTTAAAAAGAAAGAAATTTCTCCTGAAATCACTAATCAGAGTATGATGCCTTTCTATCTCCCCACTAAATTAATCAAATTAATCTTTAAAATACCCAATCCGATTTTGCTTGGTACATTCTAACTGAATAATACCTCTAAAACAATTAAATACCTAGTTAAGCAATAGATTTAAATATTAAAAACAAAATACTATAATGAAAGTTTTATAATAACATCAATACCATAATCTTAATAAACTCTTTAATTAAAGTTTAATATTCTAAATCTCCCCTCATATTATATTTTCAAACCAATCATTATTAACATTCCAACATTTTAATCTCTTATCAACTCTCAAACCATTTAAATTTTCTATTTCTGATACAATACTACAATGTCATCTTATGTACCTTGCAAAATCTCTTTGAAGAAATTATACTTATCCTTTATCCCTAAAAAAATTTCTTTTTTCTCATTTAATTTCAAAACTTTGTAACTTTTCTCCACCTTTTCTCTTTCTTTCTTCCCCCAACAAACCTTTCTAGCCCCCCTTCTAGCCCCCCTTCTTCTAGCCTCTGCCTTACTGGCTTCCCTTCTCTGTCGCATTCCTCTTCCCTTTTGTTTACCATCCTTATATTGATTTTGCACCTTGTTTTTCCCTTTCTTAAATGTTTTTTTAAATCTTAAGTCCTTTATTTCTCTTCTTTTTCCTCTTCCTTCCCTCTTGGTCGAGTTCTGAGATTTATTAAAGATGGCTTCCTTTCTTTGTTCTTCTTCTGCTGTCTTCATCTGTTGCAATGTTTGTTGATCATTAATAAGCGCCATTTCTAAAAAAAGGAAGGCTTCTTTCAAACCAGCTTTACCATTTTGTTTTGCTTGCTCATAGTCTTTTCTCAGTTCCTCGATAGGAGAAGCCATTATAAATCTTTTCTTTTCTTTTCTCTTACAACAGCCAAAATATTCCAAAGAAAAAATAAGACAATCCCAAAGTTCTCAGTCAGTCCAAACCAAGACAGAGTTCCCACTCTCCTCCTGGGGTAGTATCAATTAAAGAAAAGGAAAGTCCAAATCTGTTTCTTAAAGTCTTATTACAATATATTTTAGTCTTTCAATCCTTAAGGCATCTCCTCCAACAAAGTCTTAGCATACAAATATTTTTTTTTTTAAGTCCTCTCTTTTCCCACTCACCGCTTAGAGCCAGTTTTCACCTAAAAAAAATAGGTTTCTTAATGTTCACTTTTTATTCCGTAAAAAAAGAGGGTAAGCTATCCTTTCAGCACCATTAAACTGCCGCTTTTTTCCTCTTCTCGAAGGTATCATTCAGAAAGTCATACTTTTCAGGAATTTTGTTAAATATATCTTAGAGTCCTAGGAACCAAGAAAGACTTTCTCCTCTCAAGCACTTTCTCCACTTCCTCCTGCGCATTCTTACCCGGCTGCCAGCTTCTTTGTGGCGGCCATTACAGACCGCCGCTGCACCGTCCTGGGAAAGGGGGGTTCTGCCGGCCGGGGAGGGGGTCTGCAACACCCCCAAACCCTTCTCCGGATCCCCCCTACCTTCAGCTGCCCCTGCAGGGCAGCCT